CCGCCGGCGCCGCCAGGTGGCGCCGCCGACGCTCCGAGGCTCCAGATCTCGGACGGGCCGCGGCCAGATCTGAGATCATCCTCACGCACCCGCAGGACGGCCATGCCGGGGTTCAGCAGGCGGCAGGTGTGGGCGATCGAGATCGCTGTCTCCATCTTGTCACCTGCGTTCGAATGGGTGGAAAGATTGACAACAGCTATCTGACAAAGCGTGGCGAGGTGCGTTCGCGTCGAACGGCCCCTTGAAGCCAGCCGGCCTGGTCAGCTTGCGGGCGCAGTGGCCCCTCGTAAACCTCCAGCCCCCAAGCACAGCCGCTGCCCCACCCCACGCCTCACTAGTGCCGACTCGTTCGCCCCGACGCCCGGCAGACACAGAAATCTGTCGCGTTTTTACTCACCCGTGAGTACCCAGACCTTGATGCCTGCTGCCTTGAGCCCAGCTATGGCCTCCGGGACCCCGTCCTGTGATTGTGCACGTTGGTGGCACCCAGTGAGCGGTGGACCAAAAGCACAGGCCACCAATCCAGGGGAGCACGGACCGCCTTAAGGTCCAAGTGCCCGGCGTGGCGGAAAACGCAGGACGCCAGCTGCGGCGCCACGGCGCGCGCATATGAACCGAGGGGGCGGGGACAACCTGGCCCGCGTTGGAATTCTGATACCCCTGCTTTGACTTTGCATTTGACCTGACAAGAGCCAAGACTTGTATTTCTGCTTGGTACATGAGATGGTGATTTGAGTATTTCCTTAGGGCGCGCCTCACCCACCTGCAGCTTGTCCTCGACCGCCGTGGCCCCCATCAAGGTCAGCCCCCGCTCGATGCGCTCGCAGCACGCGGCCACCTGCGTCGTGATGCAAATGCAAGTAGCAGACATGTGAGCTCATCGGTCAATGCGGACGGCCCGATCACAGGCATGCCACGCCCACCTGCGGCCACTTGCAGCTCTGGCGCGGCACTGCCGACGGGTTGGCAAGATGGCTGCGCGACGCGAAGCCCAGCATGCTCGATCTCAGCCGTGTGAGCGCGCGCGTGCGCAGGCACGCGCACTCTCTCACACTCACACACACACGCACGTGTGTGTGCGCGCGCTCGCACACCTTCGCATCCCGCCCCTCCAAGCTGGCGCAGGCCTCCTTGTACTCGACCGCCCACTTGGCGTAGTCATCGTTACTGATGGCCTTTGACGCCACCACCAGGGTGCGGAACCCGGCGCCGCTCATGGTGTCCAGGTGCGACGACGTGGCGGGCAGCAGCTGCTGGGCGGCTGCGGCTCAGAGGGTGATTTCATTGCAGTGGGGACAGGGGTGCAAGGTTAGGGGTGCAGCAGGGGGGACAGGGGAGGGGGTGCCGTGAAGATTGGTGCTGTTGACATGTGCGGGGTGCCATGACGAGTCCGTGGCGGCAGTCGCAGATGGGGCAGCAGGCTGTGACGCGGTCTATCATTGCGACCTTGCAAACTTGCACGCATCCTTCTGTCCAACACTCTGGAAAATGTGTCTTGACCCTCTGGCCGCTCACGTGCGAGTCTCTCCAGCACCACGTTGTCCGCGCCCTTGCACAGCAGCACCACCTCCCCTTCCCCGCGCCCGCCGCCACCGCCGCCGCCGTCGCCGGCGACTTTGCCGGCGCCTTTGCCGCCGCCCGGCCGCCGCACGACGACGCTCATGCGCTTTCGGTCCGACGAAAACTCCAGGACTGACAGAAGCTCGAATCGCTGACGCCGTGTGACGTCATCGAGTTCGGGGCAGCGGCGGCAGCATGCGAGAAGTGAGATTACTGGAAGCTTTTTGATGCGAAAAAGTGCATGCAAGCAGAGGCAGGGGAGCAGGGCAGCGACGGCGCTGGAAATAGTATAAGAAGTATGTACTCGCGCCCACACCTGCAGCTCCCCGGCCATCTCCACCTCCACGTGTGAAGCAGACCTGCAGGTAGCGCATGGGGTGAAAGGTGGGCGCAGTGCAAAAGCACGTGAGCGACACAGCCAAAAAGCATGCTCATCACCCGTCACTTCAGCTGGCCCCTGGACAACCCCAGGGGCCGACAGAGCGCCCGAGTCGCGCCGCCCTTCGCGCATCGCAGCAGGCACTGTGTGCCACAGCCCGTGCTTTTGGCCAGCCAACCTGGCCACGAGCTTGACCCCCAGGTAGGCTGCGGCCGCCACCAGCGCCTCCTCATCGGGGGAGGCCGCCTGGAGGGGGTTTAGGTTTTCGGGGTTGAGATCAGTTGGGGCAGTGACGTCAGGGAGATCAGGGGCTGCCTGGGGTGGGGTGCGGCGTCTCAGGCGCGAGCGCCTATTGGGACCGGGCGTAGGGAGGCAGCGCGACGTGGGTGGAAGCTTCGGCCCGAGCGCTGAGGCCCGGCGAGCCGGCCCTCTTCTTGTGGGTGGGACCTGATCCAGCACGCCTGATCCATGATCAGGTTGCTTTGGTGACAAAACTGCACGGTGATCCGGGCCCACAGGGCTTCCGACGTACGACAAGAGCGAGCCCAAAACCGCCACGTCCCTCCCGCACCTGATACAACAGGGTGCCGTCATCAGTCGCCGTCGGCACCACCGTGTTGCACAGCGCCAGAGCCAGCAGAAAGTCCGCCGCCGCACCGCCGCCGCCGCCGCCACCGCCAGCTGCCCCCGCGAATGCCGCCGCCGCGGCGCCGTCGGGCGCGGCCTTGCGGCGGGCGGCCTCAGCTGCGACCGCCGCCCGCAGCCGTGTGTCCAGAGACACCTGCGGCGGCGACAGGTGACGTCATACCAGGGGCTCAATCAGGTGAAGCGCGGGACCATGTGGTCCGCAAGGGCTTGAGGCAGATGACCTGTAACCCAGGTGTTACGTCATGCGGAGCGCCAACACCAGACGATCCGCGTGCACCCAGCATCACAGCTGCGCCCAGGGCGCACAAACCACCCGCACAAGCGTATTGCAACGAGCGTACGTGCATCGGAGGATTCGCGGCCTTACCGTGTGCGGCGTGTTGTTGGGCACGTCGGCGATGCTGCCCTGCGCCGCCATGTACTCCGCCGCGCCCCCCACCCGCGCCGGCGCCCCCGCCCTCGCGGTCCCCCCGGCCCGCGCCCCGTTCGTGACGCCCGCCGCTGCGAATCCGGTGGCGGCCGCGGTGGCGGGCGTGTGGCCGTACAGTGTGCCGGCTATGGAGGCGAGGACGAAGCCCATCACGTTCTGGGTGAGGGTGCCCGTCTTGTCTGAGAGCACGTACTCCACCTGTCGACAGATTCGAATCATTCGCATGGTTGCAGAAGTGGCATGTACAAGTTGATGGGGCGAACGGCTGCAAAATCGTGAGGCGCGACCAGCATGTTGTCAAGGTTGCAAGGTGTTGGGTTCATGTCCAAGGGGGCATGCAACTGCACGGCTGCATCCGCCGCTGCCCCAAGAACCAAGCCGCGATAGACTGGTGAGTTTGCTCCGCTCAACCCTGCAATGGAGGAGGGGCCCATGGGGTCTGCCCCCCCAGCCGGCGCCGCGCACCTGCCCCAGCTCCTCGTTAAGCGTGGTGGTGCGGCTGGTGAAGGGCACGTCCTCCGCCGCCCAGTACATGGCACGGTCCCGGTCATACAGCAGCTGGAGGGGCGCGGGCGTGGTGCCGTCGTGCATCAGGAACAAGCTGGCAGATCGCTGTGTGCAGCTGTGCGGGAAGCCCTATTTACACCTTGCGACGGCGTTGATGACACGGCAGCTGGGCGGCCCCGTTGCTGGTATGCTCCCTCGCCCCCGGCGCATCCACAACGTCTGACCAAGCGGCGCTCAATAAACAGCATGCCAGGCGCCCCTGCGCCGCCACGCGGCGCGCCCGGCCGCACTGCAGGCGCTACCAGAGCTGCGCGCGTGTCCCAGACAGTGATGGCCGGCCCTCTTGGCCCCGAGCCACCTTGCACTGCGCGGCCATCCCCCCCCCTCTCCTTGCACTGCACGGCGAGCCCCCTAAAACCGCCCCACCTTGCACTGCGCGACCTTCACTGTCTCCAGCGTCACATAGAGGCTAATGGGCACCGCCTGGGCCATCAGGATCAGGAAACGCACCATCTGCCGGAAGACGGAGGGCCAGGAACGAATAACGATCATGGGTGTGAGCGGCAGGAAGCCGATCGGTCACGATTGCAAGCACGAGCGCCCCAAGGGCATCTGGAACAGCTGGTGGGGCGCATCGAGGCGGGGCTGGCTGGCGGCCTCATTGCTCAATTGACCTGGTTTGGCGGTGGCGGGCTCGTATGTCAGAGAGATGGCCCCTAAAGATGGATCAAGTGCAGGGCCCTCGAGCTGTCACCCGGCATGCCTGCCTGCTCAGCCCCACCTGCACGAGGAAGCCGGCAATCCCTGGGGACAGCTCGGGCCAGCTGTTTTCGTGCTGAAGGTACCAGTCGCGCCCCGGGTTGTGCCTCGCCTCCCACGCCTGGGGCGGGCGGGCCGGCGGCCGGCGGCAAGGCGGATGCAACAAGGGGGATGGTGGCTGAGGGGCCCCGGCAGGGCTCGATTTGATGCTACTCAGTGACTGCTGCATCTCCATTGGTTGGATGCCCTACTGCACAGCTGGAACACAGAGCGGTGCCCCTCTTACACTTACGTTGGCTACAAGTGATCCCCTCCACACAAGTCGTCTACATACACAACCCAGTGGTGCGCACCTGGTTTGCGACGGCCATGATGAAGGCCAGGGCCCCCAGTGTCGCGAGGGTGGCCACCACCACGCCATTCATGGAGCGCTCCAGCCGGGTCACCTGGGGGTTTGGGCGGTTTGCAGGCAGGTCATCTTGAAACAATACAGGATTACAAGACAGCGCTGTGCTTTTGCGGCCGGGGTGACCCAGACCTGGAGCTTTGGCTGTAACGAGGCCGCCGCCACTTCGGAGCAGCTTAATCTGAGGCGCCACCCCTAGCCGGCCCCTGAGGGGTCGTGCCTGACGTGGCCCCAGGCCCATCACAGGCAGCCGAAGCCTCCGCCGCACCTTGCGCGGCGCGGGCAGCATGTTCCTCACGACCTTGGTGTCCGGCCCCGTGAACACCACCGCGCCGATCACCCAGTCCGTCTTGCGCAGCTTGCTGCCCCTGCGTTTTGCGACGGCGGCGGCGGCGGCGCAGACGCGTCGACAAGCGAATCGGCCAGCCGGCGCCGGCCGGGGCGCAGGGCACAGGCATGAGCAGCAGGCGGCAGCTCGCCTTGCATGGCGCAGCCTCGGTTTGCAGTGCACTATGGGTGTGCGCGCACTCAGGCCGATGCAGCTGCCGTGCAGCTGCTGCACCATGCATGCCACCTTCCTGTCGCTTCTGGGTCCCCCAGCCAGGCTGCCATCAGCATTTGCCCATTTCATCACCTGAGCAGCAAATTATTTGCGTCCAGGGGGTCCCTGGCCACTAGGCCCACCTAAAAAGATCCAGATGTTTGCATTCGACAGGGCAGGGGTGCAATTGAGTGATGCCATAGGATATGCTGAAAGCCAGGCGCGGCCGCGGGGGCGGCGGGGTGCACAGCGGCCCCATTTCCGGCAGAGCAAAGGTTGAACAGGGATCCTTTAGACCCTTCTGCCCGTGCGTGCGTATGTGCTCCTCGTGAAAGCCCCACCTGGTGTCCCCACGCGCCGCCGCCGAGCGGCTCCGCCCTGCCGCCCTCGCCGCCGCCGCCGCCGCCC